CGATGTCATTGTCCATCACAATGTTTCACTGCAGACATCGTCCGATGCCAATTTGGTAGACATCGCCCAACCCTAATTGATAATAATCAGAAATGTTTCTTGAGCAGCAAATCAGCATATTAGAATGATTTCTGAAGGATCATGTGACACTAAAGACTGGAGTAATGATGCTGAAAATTCAGCTTTACATCACAGGAATAAATTACACTTTAACATATGTTAAAATAGAGAACAATTACTTTAAATTGTACAAATATTTCACAATATTTCTGTTTTTACTGTATTTTTGGTCACATAAATGCAGCCTTGCTGAGCATAAGAGATTTTTTCTGTAGTATATATTCATATAGCTAAATTATTTATTATTATTATAATCATTTATGTTATTATTCAGTATGAATATACAAATGCATTATTAAGACAGTTTTTAATTATTCATTTTAATTATTTATTATAATTGCATGCCTGAAAGAGATTCATGTTTAAATACTTTTTGGATTAATTTGAAAAAGCTTTTAGGGCACCTATAATACTGTAGTAATTAATAATTTAAAGTTAAGGTAATTTAACATACTTCATGTTTGAGTCAATTTTAAGAAGAAATATGTGAAACCTTCTAAAGAATGGATTGAAAAATGGCAAAATGCCTTAAGGGAATTTAAAACTATACTCTTAGTAGCTGACAACAATCATTTAATAAGCATAATGAGCGGTGGATTTGGAGGATTATGAGTGACAAGTGAGTCTAGTTTGCTTTCTGTAACCTTGTCTGTTTATGATATAACCTTGTTGGATCAATCTGTAGACAGATGAACAAGAGTGTAAAACTGCATGTAAAGACTATGAATGTATAGGCAATTGTGGCTCCATGACTGACGACTTCATGATGTCATGCTCAGTTGACAGTAAAGATTGTGCATGTTCGTTACCACTGCACGTGTCGGAAGGGCAACACAAATCACCTTCACATGTGTCCGTCTTACGAGGGAATGTCATTGTCGGGTTGAATGTTCGCGTGGTGAGCCTGATGGTGTGACGGGAATGATTCATGTGCGAGATCTCAGAAGGTTGTTGAAAGAGACTGAAAGACACTCAGAGGCACGGAGGAGGCTGAATGAAAGCCGGAATGGAGCGAGGGATAGATCCGGATGAGAAAGAGCGTAGGAGGTGTCGGTGTCTTGTCGCAACCTGCTGGGGAAACAGTGTAACAGAACAGACACACTGAGCCTGAAGGAACGAGTTCAAGTAGCTGAACAGCTCAGTTTTTCCCACCTTCATTTACATGTGTTCCCCCTCGATGTGTCCCATAAAACGTGTTC